CCCTAGTCCCCTCTAGGCCTCACTAACGCCGCAGTCCCTAGGCAACTCCTAGGCGGCCGGGTTTCTCACAAAAACCCTTTTCAAAATTCTTTCCCAAAATCCATTTCCTTTCTTTCAAATCAATTTTTCCCATTCTATCCCAATGAATACATATGTGTCTTATGCATTTCAATGACGTACCAATAAAGAAATTTTTATTTCTTACAAGTCAAATATGTACACTATACATGCCTTATAGAAGATTCATAAAATATATATATCATGCTTCTAAATTAACAAATTCAACACTTAATACACAATAAGCATGGAATTAATCATTTAGGCATGCTTTATAGAAATCTCTAAAATTTAACATCATGCTTCTGAGTTATAATTTCAGCACATAAATTACAATAGGCATGAAATAAAGTCATTGAAACATATTTTCTCATACCACATGAACACACACATATAATCATATCTTTCATGAATATAACAATTAGAATCATTTTAAAGAAATCAACACAAATATAGCATTTTAAACATCAAACAAGAAGAATAGTTCATAAAGGTACAAGAATGTATGAATTAGGAACCCCTACCTCAATTACATGCAAAACCCCCAAATTTTCACCTCAAACCCTAGGATTTTCGAATCTCCTATAGTGCACTAACCAAGGAATTGCTCCTATCAACTTGTTAATCTCGTCGTGGGCTTCGAATAGCCGCAAACGGCACTGAAAAAGGCTAAGTAATGAGGGAGAAATCAAGAGTGGAAGTTTGAAATTAAAAAAAAAAAACAGAAAAAGAGAAGGAGGCTTTTGGAATGAGAGAGAGAGAACCTTACGGGGAAGTGAGAGAAAATGAAATCAAAAGTGGTCTCATGACCATTGAAGTGCTTGTGGGTCCCACCCATTTTTGAATTTTTTTTTTTCTTTTGCCTTTAAATTCACACCACACACACACAATTACATATATATATATATATATATATATATATATATATATATATATATACATAACACAGACATTACAACTACAGTTCCGTTTGCTAGAGATATTAATTCTTGATTTTATGTTCATATCATACTTGCATCATACTTTTGTTCAGTTTTTACATTATCATGACTTGATATTTTTTGAATATTATCTTTTGACTACTTACATGTAATAAACTGATTACTGTTTTCTCTGTTTAATATTGATTCTACTCTAAATGACCTGTTTAATTGCTTTGTCAATTTCTGTTCCAAAAAGGGGGAGAACAATGGTTAATTTAAGAGATAAACTGAAAAAATTGGATAAATTATTCAGGGAAAGTTTTTAATTTGTTTTATTAAATTTTCACTGGTAGTTTTGCTTAATCCATGTGCAGGAATTTAGGTAAAATTTTGTCCAAGAGCAGAAGAGAACAGAGATAAAAAAATTCCGTATTTCCTTAAACAGTTGTAATTTACTTTTCTGCATTGGGTAGATTATAAATTGTTTTTAGGGTTTTGTCACGAAATTGCCAAAGGGGGAGATTGTGAGATATATTTGTAATTGACATATTTCGGAAACAAAACAAGTCCTAGTCGAGTTGTAATTTCAGTTACCATATTAGAATCGACATCGACTGTGGAATTGAAAGGTTGTTCAAAAGAGGAAAGTACTGTTGATCATCGAAAAGCAAAGAACAACACATTATGACATTGTTTCCCACTTAAGACAAAAATACCTATATGGTATGTTTTCCAGAATTTTTGAAAACAGAAAATCCAAATTCAAATTGGATTCTGTCAAGTGGGAACCGGTACCTAGATTTGGGAACCAGTTCCAGAAGCTAATATTTGAGAACTCCATTATGTCCTTTAGGAACTAATACCAAGATTGGGGAACTGGTTCCAGAAGTCCTGACAGCAATAGGTTTTCAGTTTCCTTATTAGAATCGACATCGACTTTGGATTGAAAGGTTGTTCTGAAGAGGAAAGTACTGTTGATCATCACAAAGGAAAGAACAACACATTAGGACATCGTTTCCCACTTAAGACAAAAATACCTATATGGTATGTTTTCCAGAATTTTTGAAAACATAAATCCAAGTTCAAATTGGATTATGTCAAGTGGGAACCGATACCTAGATTTGGGAACTGGTTCTAGAAGCTAAGATTCGAGAACTCCATTATGTCCTTTGGGAACCAATACCAAGATTAGGGAACCGGTTCCAGAAGTCCTGACAGCAACAGGTTTTCAGTTTCCTTGTTCTATTTGATTCCTTTTTTATCCAACTTTCCTTCCAAGTCCTATGTACAAAAATTCCTTTATTTTCAGAAGGAATAGGACTTTGCGAACCTTTATATAAACCATGTCATACACATAGGTTTATTAACGGCTTTTATTCTACAACTTCATTATTTTTAAAAAGCCTTAGGGAGATTAGTCTTGCAAAAAATCCAAGAGATTTCTCTGTCATTTTTCTAGGATATATACACATAAAAACATAGTGAGTTTAGAGTTGTGGCATTCAAATCCTAATCGTGATCATACAGTTGTAACTACATCGATCAGACGAAAGCAAATTTACTTCTACATCGAATTTAGACGATTGAAGAACATAAGTAAAAGTGATCACACTTTGAAAGGGTTGGAACATTCGAGGAGTGTTGTCTAATCTACCTGCTACTCTTCTACAAATATCAAGTATAAGCTTGAGGACAAGTTGCTGTTGGACGGGGAATCATAAAGCCAGAGGATTGTCAGCAATTGGTGTTTGGTAAAAACGATAGGGTGTGAGTCAGAGTCAAAGTTCAGTGTACTTTGTTTCAAGCATAGTGGATCGGTTTACTTTAGACTACATAGTCCACGAGGTTTTTCTCACACAAACAGTTGACATATTTTATCAACTAGAATTTTCTCACTAAAAGTCCTGGCGTCATTATTAACTTTACTTTGCTTTGTTTTATATTGCATGATATTAATTTATTAATTACTAGAATAAAGAAAGTTAGAAAAACACAAGATATGTTCCCCATCAATATTTATTCTACCAAACCTTAAACTCTCTTTACCCGTGAACTCGCATGAGGCTGCCCTCCACGAGCCACTCTCTCTCAACAATAACCTCAACGTATAACTCCCAACAATAACCTCAACTCACAACTCTTATTTTATTTTATTTTATTTTCCTAGTTGGTATTCATACACACTTGTCTCTTCTGAGACTTGGACCCTGACCTCCCTTTGAAAAGTAAGAGGTTGATAGCACTAGGCCACTGGCCCGTTAGTTATCTCGGTTATCTATCTATAGAACCAAAACTTACATAACAAAAAATTCTTTAGAGGCAAAGACTTGCCTAATAGAAACTAATCATACAAAATACGACTCTAAAATGAAAATCTAATTATTGATAAAATTAGAGACACAAATCCTAGTACTAGAGGGTTTATTTATTTTTATTTTTTATTTTTTTGAATGGGTACTGGAGGGTTTAGTCACACCCAAAGATGAGAGATCCTTCCTTTTAAAAAAGAGGTTCAAAATAAGTTTAGAGTTAACAATTTGATCCCGCTATAGCACCAAAATATAGAGATAGAAGGGTGGCTACGTTCAAGTTAGACAAATGTGGAGAGAGTATAATTGTGTGTATAATATGTATATTCTTTCCAACGGGTTGCTTATAAAGTTACAAGAATGCATGGGACAAAGCCAAATCATCCTTAAGATCTTATGCCTTTCAAATGAGCGCCTTATGGCCCTTATTCATCAGTCATGACCCTCATTCCCAAAGAGTACCCCAAAAGTTAATGCTCTCTCTTCCTCAATTCACTATAACATGATAGAATTCTACTGTTAATTAAGAGGGTTTCTTTATTCAATTGAATAGCATTCAAATAGAACATATTCAAAATGATGAATTAAATACATCATGGACAGTTTGACACGACCATGAGCATGGATTTGAAAATCTCTTATGTAACTAATGCTTCTAAGGGAGAATCTGATGTAACTAATGCTTCTATGTTTGGGAAAATCGAATTTGGATTTGGTCCCAAAACACAACTTAAGAATAAAATGATAATATTGCGGTCAAAGTTAATTCCATTAGACGAAGTAATTTTAGGCTGATTTTTTGTTCTTTCTCTACAAATAAAAATAAAAATTATTACGTTTATTTTTTATTGACAAGAAACATACTCATACTCTTTTTTGTCCACAACCGGTTCGAACCTCTCCTCTCCTCTTTAAGGATAGGAAGGTTATATCATTTGGCTAGATATCCTTTAAAAGTAAAAATCATTCGCCAAATGCGCCTTTTTTTGTTCTTTTTCTTTTTTTTTTTTTTAAAATTCTTTTAATGAAATAAGTGTGGCTTGTGGACGGTTGCACATATCGAGAAGTTTACTGGGCAACTACAAATCTAAAGGGCCGATAATAGTGAGGTTCCCACGTCATGAAAGAAAATATATATATATATATATATATATAATTTTTGAAAAGTCCTTTATTGAGGACTTTTAATGTTTGGAAGCTCTCAAAAATTACCAAAATGATTGAATTCCCCTACACAACATACTTGTGATTCACGGAGGATAATTATTGACAATTCTAACAAACCCATCAACCAATCATTGTTTGAGGTTATTTGAGTTATAGCTATATTTCAATTACCAATAAAACTAATAAATAAACCAAAAAAAGAAGTTATTCCACTTGAACACTTGTATTGCCAACCCCTCTTGATCCACATGCACAAGACGTGAAGGAAAGATGACAAGAAACGGTTGAGCAAAAGCCATACATATAAAGACTTGCCTTGATGAAATTGACAGGTGCAAAGGGCATGAACAAAGACAACGTACAATTAAGATCAACCAAAACCAAAAAATTCTAGATCAACAAAAGCCTATTTAATGTCACATTATTATACACATAGCCAATGCAAATGTGTGCTTCACACAAAGTCTCTACTTATAAGACATTAATTTTGGACACCTTTATATATATAAATCTCAAACTAGCTAGCTTATATATATATATAGCAATGGAGAGCTTGAGGATCAATATTGCTTGCTTGAGTCTTGTGTTTTTGTGGATTCTCTGCATCCCCACAAGAGCACAAAGGTATGACCCAGCACCTGTGAGGAGAAGGTATGAAAAGTGGATCCAACAACATTGCAGAAAGTACAAAGATAGAGACGAATATCAATGGCGTTTTGGGATTTACCAATCCAATGTTGAGTACATTGACTATGTGAATTCTCAGAATCTTTCTTATACGCTCGTTGACAACGAATTCGCCGACATGACCAATGAGGAGTTCAAAACAATCTACTTGGGTTATGAGAACACCGGGCTTTCATGTGATGAGGAGCAAAGCTTCAGAGATGATGATCAGAAGCCGTTGCCGACGAGCGTGGACTGGAGAAAGAAGGGTGCTGTGAATCCAGTTAAAGACCAAGGCCAATGTGGTACACTATTTTCATGCTTCTTACTTGATTAGTGTTGGAAGATTTAAAAACTAACTTTTAGAGTTGATTGTTGTTATATTAGAGTAATAAGTCTCGAGTTCAAATCTCACCATAACCCTGATAATTAAAATTGAAGATTGACTAAGTTGAACTGAATATACCTTTAATGTAACCTCAGGGGGTTGATCTCGTTAGAAAATATTTGAATCTTGGTGCCTCATGAAGCATTAGGTTTCATGATAGATTAGGTGCAAACAATTATTTTGGGGGCAACGCCCGCGAATATAATTCGAACTTTACCTGATCCGTGTGGAGACACACCTGCACAGGTCACCCGTTAAAAAAAAAAAAAAAAAAAAATTAGAGCTGTAATGTCATTATATATATTGTATATATTGTTACACTGAATATCGGATCATTAATTTCTTTCAATTCCAATCAACCAAACAAGAGAGAAATATATAATGCTTACCTATTGATAAATGTAGGAAGTTGTTGGGCATTCTCAGCAGTGGCAGCTGTGGAAGGCATCAACCAGATCAAAACAGGGCGTTTGGTGTCACTATCAGAGCAAGTGCTCGTGGACTGCGACGTGAGGAGTGGGAACCAAGGCTGCAATGGTGGATACATGGACAAAGCCTTCGCTTTCATCAGAAGGAATGGAGGCATCACCACGGAAGAAAACTACCCTTACGTAGGAAGAGATGGAAAATGCAACGAAGCAAAAGAAGCACAACATGCTGTGACCATAAGTGGCTATGTGAAGCTCCCTCCTAACAACGAAACAAGCCTACAAGCTGCAGCAGCCAAGCAACCTGTATCGGTTGCAATTGATGCCAGTGGCTACGCGTTTCAGCTCTACTCTGGAGGGGTCTTCTCGGGTTTCTGCAAGACAAGTCTAAATCATGGAGTGACAGTTGTTGGTTATGGAGTTGATAGTGGGAGAAAGTACTGGCTTGTGAGGAATTCATGGGGTACTGGTTGGGGTGAAAGGGGTTATATCAGGATGGAGCGCGGTTCTGCTGGTAAGAAAGGCATCTGTGGCATTGCCGCGGAGGCTAGCTACCCTGTTAAGTCTTGATTATTGTTAGTAAATTTAGCTTTAATTTGTTGGAATTTATACTGAAAAAAGAGTATACTTCAAGTATACATATATAACATTGTATGGAAAAACAGAAAGGAAAAAAAAAATGTTAAAATTTCAAGAAGTAAACATTTCTTTTAATAGATTTGGAAAAATCAATGCTACTCTTTTCTTTGCTAACTAAGGTTCTTATAACTCAAAACATTCAGTGATTTTCAGCATTTGCAAGGGTATAAATGGCTTGAACAACGACAAATTGATCATCTGCAAAGTATAAATTAATGAGATTATTAATACCATATTCCATAGAAGCCTTTACTAATTTTTATCATTCATTTTTTCACTTTTAGTTCCTTCATATTATTGAAATATTAATCACAAGATTGAAGAGTTCATAGTGATCAAGAGAGTGGACATCCTTGATGAACATTCATTTCAGCTTGAAAACAATCACTTACTAGGTTTGAGAACAAGCTGTCGTTATGCACTCTTTAATTATCTTGATCCACTTTTAATGATATACGAGGTTGAGATTTTTTATGAGTACATCGCCTCAATAAGTTCATAAGCAATTATAATATTATCTTGAACCTTGTCCCTATTACACAACAAATAGACTGTTTGTTTCCAACGAATTTAGTTAACATTAAAACAAGTCTATATGAGCAATATTTTTGTACAAATAACATCGCATACAGAGATAGGCCAATAATATGAAATCTTGTTACTATATATATATATATATATATATATCTCCTGCTGTTTCTTAGGAATGAGAGCAGTGGAGGTGCTTTAAAACCCTTTGGGTGCTTAGACTTTTCAAAATAGAATTATACTGTAGCTGCCATATCTCGATCAACTTAATGTTGGGATTTATATGGCCTGGCACAGCAAATTCCCATTTGGATTATTGTGACATATGTTCCTGACGTTTCTGGAATATTTATGCTTTATACAATTGGTGAATTCAATGTATTATGTTTCGATTCATTATAAAATTGATAGCGTCCACTTCATTATAGAATTGATAGCGTCCACTTGATTACAAGAGATATTTATATATGTATTTGGTGGCGATCAATACATGAATATAAATAGTAATCATAAATTGTTCATAATCAGTAATTATGGATGGACTCATAATTAATTAAGACTTGAACTAGATCCGCGTTAGGTTGAGATATATTGCGAGAGCCGTTGTATGCAATTACTCCCTATCACCGTCATGGCATTTGACTCTTAAGTATGAGAGAAGTATAGACTCTTTTATTAATTATTAACTACTTTGATTTGTTCGGCGGAATCCTTAGACCAGCACTTTGGGTAATTATGTAATTAATAGTTAGAGGGTTATATTTTCAATATTTGCATCATTACTACTTGTATTTATTTTGTATTGATTATGGTTGATCACAAAGTAAATTCGTGTGTTTTTAGACAAAATGATTTATTATATATTTATTTATTTAAATTATTATTTTTATCAAACAAATGTTTTATTGTGATCAAGCTGAAAATAATCAAAGGTGCCAAAATAAATATATTAATTAACCAGTCGGATTAATGGCTTTATTTATCCGATAACTAATTATGCATAGAGGGGTTAAAGTACAACATTGACTTAGAGGTTATTTATTATTTAATTGAAGTTCAATTAATTTCTTTTAGTGGAGTAAAAATTAATTTATGAATTAATTGAATTAGGTCCATAGACCGGGCCAATTATTAATTCATTGTAACCAATAAAATAATAAGTCCAACGGATTCTCACTCATAGCCCAACTTGATATTGGAATCGTATTAGATTTGAGACATGTGAATTAGAGATTGAGAAGGATTTATTGTTTCCTTTTCCTTATCTTTATGTTGCCTATATATATAGATGGTCTATGTACATTTTGGGTGTGATTTTTGGAAGAAGGAAAAAATAATATATTTTCTCTCTAGAAAATTAGGGTTAATGTTCTCATCCAATGGAGGCTCCCACAAACCTAGTTTTCCAAGGTCATTCATGGAGGCTTATGAGTGATTCCTAAAGGCAAAACAATTACCAAGAAGATAGAGATCCAAGAAAAAGACATCTTGCTAAGAGATTTATAATAAGTGAGAACATTCACTTTAGAGAAAAGATTTAAAGGTTTACTCAGACCTTTGATGTAAGTATTCAATCTGTTAATTGAATGATACATCATATTTTATTTTTGCATAAAACTTGCCTCTATGTGATGAATCAAGAACTATGAATCAAAATCCCTCGAAAAGTTTTTAAAACTTGCACATTTCCCAACACTTAATACATGCCAAAAGCGTTGGAAATATCTAGCTGGAAATCTATTAGAATATGGGAATTTGTTAACATCAAATTCAATAACCACATCCCTAATCTCGTCATGAAACTAACTTGATTCAAGAAAAGCAGCATCCTCATGATTTAATCTCTTCTTGGTAGGAATGAGTTTGAAAGAAGAAGATTTTATGCTCTCCTTTTTTCCCGATAAAGGTAGATTGTATAAATAAATTGTGTTATAGAGGTATAAAAGAAGCAATAGTCAAGCAGCTCAAAAGAGGCAACAAGAGAAATACAACAGTAGGAACTTACACTAGACCAAGCTATACGGCTAGAAGCTAGAACAATGTGCAGCTAGACAAGGAGAATATAACATAGCAAAAAACCAGTATTCAAGTATAGCAACAACAATGAATCAAAAGTTGACAAAAAAACAATTGAAGCGGAGCTAACAAAAGCAGTAGACTAAGAGCTGAGTCCATTAATAGCAGAAGCATCAACTTATATAAGAAACAATATGTTTGGCCACAAAAATTTCGTCTGTTACAGGTGGAAAGGTGGAAGGTGCGGGCGTACCAGGATTCGCCAAGAATCCAGTGGAGATAGAATAGTGCTAAACTATATTCCAAATCTGGTCGTGAGAGGCTTGAAGTTTAGGCGATTTTGGAGAGCTTGGAATTAATGACCACTCTTGCAAGGTTCTTTTTGTTATTGTGGAAAAGGAGTTCGGAAATGGAAAGATAGAATGGAAAAAAGATGGAAATGCTTGTTGAAAAGTGCTGCTAGAATATTGAAATGAACTGAATTGAAAGTCTGAAATTCTTTAAACTAGGAACTGAAGTACAAGTGCTGGAAATTAAAGGAATTGAATACAAGTGTTGAAATTAAAGTGCTTGAAAAGTAGGATTACACTATGAAAAGATAAAGTGCATGAACCGAAATGAAGTGTAAATGAAAAAAGGAATTGTTTGATTTGTGTGAAGATCCCTTTTTATTGTGTCCAAGTCTTCTATTTATAGCCAGTGGCAGTTCCATCTATTGTTAAGATGCTTCCAAGGGGAACGTCTGATTTGTGCCAAATGGAATGTCTGATTTGTGCCACGTGGAACCTCTAATTTTTGCCACGTGTCTCATGTCTCCCTTAGCTTCTTATAATACTGACACATGTAAGAACATGATGTCCCATGAATTGCAACTTTAAAGGAGTAGTTTTGGTGGTTCAATTCCAATTGAAGGCTTCTAGCCACATTCTAAAACTGCCAAATGGAATGGACCACGATCTCCTAATTGCCTGTAACTGCCTTTAACTTGTAGGTAACTGTTTTCTTCTCTGCCTGCCATGTGTCCACTTGGAAAGTCACACGTTTTTCCAACTGCAAGTAACTGATTCCCACTTTGGCTGACACGTGTCCTATTTAGCAGCAACTTTCTAACTGTAGAAAATTACTTCCTTCTTTGTCAGCCACGTGTCCACTTAGAAAGTCACACATCTTTCCAACTGTAGGTAACTGCTTCCCTTTTTGGTTAATACGTGTCCATATGTAGTTACTTGTTCCAAATGGCTTTCTCTAATGACCCCACATGTCGCTTCATGATTGCATCCTTATTAAATATCATCATTCCATTGGAATTGGCCATGACAACCTTTCCAACTAGAAGATAGTTATGGTATAAACATTACCCCCTAAATTTTATGTGCTTGATATTCTCTAAAGAATAATAAGAAATGTAAAAGTTTAGATAATTAGTGAGAATTTGGCATGTAATACTTTTATTGTGTGACGGCCTTGGTTTTTAGGCCAGTGGGGCCTGTGATGAATTGAACGTAGATCTGATGACGAATCTAGAATACGGAAGCAAAAGATGAAATAATTGTCTCTAGAGATACAACGCATCTCTAGGACACCAATGTGACACTCAATTAGGTCACGGAACCCAAAGAAAACAAATGCGGAAGTGGCGCTTCAAAAATGGACAAGAATGGACCTAGGGGAAAAATGTTCATTTCCAACATGAAAGTGGGTGCTACCGAGCACACCATTGGAAAGACAATGAAAAATTAATAAACTTAGACTTAAAAATCACTTGATTCGGAGTCCGGAGGAAGAAGATATGGCTAACGGAAGAAAAAAAAAAATGGCAAAACGGTCAAAAAGCGCCTACCCAAGAACATCTAACCAGTTGCCAAGCTTTCCTAACTGGTTAGAAGGCAAAAATAGTGAGTTCGGTATTCTGCCCATGCACATGTAACTAGTCAGGAGAATCCACCACCCATATACTTTGTGCTAAAAATCAACCAAAACTTGGCAGCAGGGGTTTTCTGGCAAAAAATGGGTTTTTGAGGGCCAAGATGACATTTTCTGAAAAAACACAAAGAAGAAAACCCCCTCAAAATTAAGTTTTCTATGTGAATACATGGAATAAAATGAAAAAAAATTCACTGTGAAATGCCCAAAATGCCCCTCCATGAAATCAGGTCATGAGAGTTAAAAAGCGGCTAAAATGGAAAACAGAAAGCAGAACTTTGCGATGGATTTCTGGTATCAAGATGACATTTTCTGGAAAAACATGAAGAAGAAACCCCCCCTAAAATCACGTTTTCCAAGTGACTATATTAAGACTAGAATTTATTTCCCAAAGGAAAATCCCAAAATTCCCCTAGACCACATTATGCAATAAAGTTGCAAAATGAGTCCATAAGAGGCTCATT